TTTATTCTCATCCAATGACATTTTTTTCATTGTTTTTATTTTGTTTGTTTTTTTGTTTTTTTTTGTTTTTTTTTTTTTAGAGAGAGGGGAATGGAGAGAGAGAAACATCAATGTGAGAGGGAAACATCAATTGGTTATCTCCTAGACTACAGATCAAACCTGTAAGCCAGGTATGTGCCCTGACCAGGAATCAAACCCACAACCTCTTGGTTACTGGAAGACACTCCAACCAACTGAGTCACACTGGCCAGGGCCTGGAATCTGCATTTTAAACAAACACTCATAGAAATTTAATGTACTTTTGAGTTTGAAACCCATTGCTTCAACTCCTTAAATGGAAGAGCTGATTAATTGTAACTGGAATTGAGATCCTTTTCCTACTTTCTGGAGCAGCCCTGGCAGGTTCCAGCTCCAATACTGCATCAGGAATACCATGGAATATTTCAAGCTCAGGGTTCTCCCAGAGCTAGACTTCCTGGAACCCTTCCTCTCCTACCACAGTGATTTAACTCAGTCTTGGGACTATGGAGAAATAAATTTTTTATTTCACTCTCTTCTTTTCTCCAAAACACTATCCTCCTTTGAATTTTAACAGATATTAAATCAATGTAGACATCTGGCTAGACCTTTAATCTTCTTCAAATAGTTGTTACCTGTGCTTTGGAATTTTCAATTAAACCAACATTTATTAAACACCCATTCAAAGCCATACCTAGGTTGGGTGCTACAGCCCACACTGTTGAAATGCAGGCTCAAAAGCTCTCATTATGGCAGCAATTAGAAGCTCTTCATTTCAGTCCAATGGCCTTAGCACATGCAGTCCATTTTCAGAATGCACAGAAAAACATCAGTGTCAGGGTGCTTAGATTATACCACGGATGTTTCTTTTTTAAATATATTTTATTGATTATGCTATAACAGTTATCCTACCTTTTTCTCCCCGTATTCCCCTCTACCTTGCACATGCCCCCCACCAGTATTCCCCTCCCCTCTTAGTTCATGTCCATGGGTAGTACATATAAGTTCTTGACTTCTCTACTTCCTATACTATTCTTAACCTCCCCCTATTTTGTACCTATCATTTATGCTTCTTATTCCCTGTACCTTTTCCTCCATTCTCCCCACTCCACCTCCCCACTGATAACCCTCCATGTGAGCTCTATTTCTGTGATTCTGTTTCTGTTCTAGTTGTTTGCTTAGTTTTTTTTTTTTCAGGTTCAGTTGTTGATAGTTGTGAGTTTGTTGTCATTTTACTGTTTGTATTTTTGATCTTCTTTTTCTTAGATAAATCCCTTTAACATTTCATATAATGAGGGCTTAGTGATGACAAATTCCTTTAGTTTGACCTCCTCTGGGAAGCACTTTATCTGCCCTTCCATTCTAAATGATAGCTTTGCTGGGTAAAGTAATCTTGGATGTATGTCCTTGCCTTTCACAACTTTGAATACTTCTTTCCAGTCCCTTCTTGCCTGCAGTTTCTTCTGAGAAATCGGTGATAGCTTTATGGGCACTCCTTTGTAGGTAACTCTCTCCTTTCTCTTGCTGCTTTTAAGATTCTCTCATCTTTAATCTTGGCTAATATAATGATGGCGTGCCTTAGTGTGTGCTTCCTTGGGTCCAACTTCTTTGGAACCCTCTGAGCTTCCTGGACTTCTTGGAAGTCTATTTCCTTTGTTAGATTGGGAAAGTTCTCCTTCATTATTTTTTCCAGTAAGTTTTCAGTTTCTTGCTCTTCCTCTTCTCCTTCTGGCACTACTATCATTCAGATGTTGGAACATAGAGTTGTTCAGGAGGTTCCTAAGCCTCTCCTCATTTTTTTGAATTCTTGTTTCTTTATTCTGTTCTGGTTGAATGTTTATTTCTTCCTTCTGCTCCAAATTGTTGATTTGAGCCCTGGTTTCCTTCCCTTCACTGTTAGTTCCCTGTATGTTTTCATTTCATTTTGCATAGCCTTCACTTTTTCCTCTATTTGGTGACCACATTCAACCATTTCTGTGAGCATCCCGATTACCAGTGTTTTTAACTGTGCATCTGATAGGTTGGCTATCTCTTCATCACTTAGTTGTATTTTTTCTGGAGCTTTGATCTGTTCTTTCATTTGGGCCATTTTTTTTTGTCTCGGTATGTCTGTTATGCAGTAAGGGGCAAAGCCTTAGGTATTTGTCAGGACAGGGCAACCCATGTCACTGCGTTGTGGTGCTGTATGTGGGTGAGGGGTCTGAGAGGGAACAATGCTGCTTGCTCAGCTCTCTGCCTGCTTTCAGCCACTTCCCCCACTACCCACAGCAAATTGGGCCCTTCTGGTGCTGATTCCTGGGTGAGTGGGTTTGTGTACATTCTAGAACCCTGTGGGTCTTTCCAACATACTCTCCTGTGAGGCTGGGAGTCTCTCCTACCACTGCAACCTCCAGATTTTTACAGCCAGAGGTTCTGAGGCTTTATTTCCCCATGCTGTAACCCTGGTTGCACAGTCTATCTCACTCCCCAGTTGTTCCTCCAGGTTTATCTGCACACAAATGTGGGACCGCCTGGTCCACCAGCTGCCACCTTGCCCACCCAGTCCTCCAGGCCCCACCTTGCTGCACATTCTCTTCACCCCAGCTGCCTGTCTCCACCCCTTTTACCAGTCTAAATGAATGTATCTTCTTTATGGTTGTTGAACTTCCATATAGTTCAATTTCTTGGCAGTTCCAGTTATTTTTTTGTTTTTAAATTTGTTGTCCTTCTTTTGGTTATGTGAGGAGACGTAGTATAGTATATATATCTACTATGTCTCCATCTTGGCTGGAAGTCGAGACTATATATCATGGATGTTTCAATTTCAGGGGCTTCTGAGAACCCAAAATAAAGCTGATATGGATCAAACCCTTTGAGCGCAGCTTTTCTGAGAGCACTCAGGTGAAGAGACCAACCCAAATCTTTTCTAACTAAGGGTGCTGCCACCTGAGAGGCAGATGACTGGCCATATGCCTCCACATTTGGTTACCTCCACAATGAGTAAGAACATTTGCTAGATATCTAAATCACAAGAGAAAAAAAAAACTTTATTGCTAGCAACTTGTTCCATCAGAAAGTAAGAAAATGAAAGACTTAATTAACACCTTTTAGAAAGTATTTTGGTATTTACACTTGTTTGTTACTTAAAAGCAATTTTTATGAGCAGGTCTAAGGAAGACTCAGCAAAAATTATGCTTCAAAACATTCTTTTTGAAGAACTCTGGCTAATAACATTCATTTTGGAAAACAGCTTTATTTTGTTGTTATTAATACTTGAAACAAACTTAGGCTATTAAAATTATTTTTTTGTTCTTAGAAAACTGTAATTCAGAGAGTCAAGCTTAACAGCAAAAAGAAATGGACTTGAGGAGTAACGTCAGTTTTTCAAAGTTGATCCTGAAGCCAACAGTGATGGGTTACTTTTACTTTTTAATAAGGAAGAACATAAAGAAATTGGAATAGCTTTTTAAAAAATTTTTAAGATTTTATTTATTTTTAGAGAGAGGGAAGGAAGGAAGGGAGAAAGAAAAGGAAACATCATTGTGTGAAAGATACGCTGATTGGTTGCCTCTCGCATAGTCCCAAACTGGGGACCTGGCCTGTAACTGGGCCTGTGCTTACTGGGAATCGAACTGGTGACCTTTTGGTTTGCAGGCTGGCACTCAACCAACTGAGCCATACCAGCCAGGGCTGGGATAGATTTTTTTTTTAACTAAGGGAAAGAAAGAGGAAAAAAGGGGGGTGAGGTGTAAGGAAAGAGTTAATTGATTTATTTGTAAAAGAGGAATACAATGAACTTTAGTTGGTTTATTCATTTGGTGTCTACTTCCTAACTGCACAGCCTCTGTCACAATACATTTGTGCCAAATTCCACATACAGATCCTGATTTGCATAGCTTTCTTAATGTCAAAAAAGAAATCAGGACTAACTCTTGTGGGGGAGGATGCGAAGAAAGACTGGAGAATATTCTAGCTGATGAAAAGTGCTTTAATCATCCTTTTCCAAATTCCAAAGCCTGCCTTTCTAAAAGCACTCTCTAACATTGTTATTTTAACATCCTCTTTCAGCATATCTTCATTTCTACAGAACTTCTGAAATGTAATTAAATAGAATAAAAAGTGAATTTATTGTTCTTTCCCCTAGTTTTAAAATGAGTAGCTGAAACTATGTATTATTATTATTATATTTTAATATGGAGCAAAACCAGAAGTACAGAGATCCACAGGAAAGCCAGAGAGAGAATATGGATGGAAAGGTGTTGCTGAATAAGTCAGCAAGTTACAGTTTATGGAAACCAGGTTTATGTATTTAAGAATAACCAGGATAGAAAGAATTAAAAAAGCAAAAAAGATGGGTAAAAAAATAATTAAAAATTATGAATATACACACACTCTCCTCCAAAATTTTGTCTTACAAAATCCTAGAATTCTAGTCCAAAATTCATGTAAATGTGTTGCTGTGGAACTTATTTTTACTTTTCTCCATAAATACATTGTTGATACAAAGAATATTATTCTTAGTTTATAGACTACAGTTAAGAGTCATTTTAGGAGTTATCTTTTCCTTCAAAAAAAAATACAATCTGAAGAGGCTATAAATCTTTTTTACTGCCTTTGTGCAGGTCTTAGATTTCACCCTACCCAATTCCAAAAAGAAAAGAGTAAAAGGATGCAGACAGCTGTAACCTAAAGAGTGAAGGATTTAGTGAGCTGTCAATTTCTTCCAGAATTATTCTTTTCTGGCACTGCAGTCCTCTATGTATTATTAATCTATTTATATTTAACTCCAGCCATTAGTCCTCCTCTTCCAGTCACTGAACCGTTTGCAAAGGAGAGGTGAGAGAACAAGGGTTGCTATTATTAGGCATCTTTGTGTGTGATGTGAGGGTGGAGACAATTAAATAACAACATTTTGCTGCTTTGAAAATGAGAAAGTATTTCGGATGGACAACTCAGGGCTGGTTAACATAACTTTTCCCCTCAAGAAGGTAAAACAAGAGAAATACATTTTAGAAGTATTTAATTAACTCTTCAGCAAGGAGTGCAGGAAAATTACAGATCCATTAAAAATCCTCTATTTTAGGCAAGAGTAAATTTTCTCTGCAGCACTCTGTCACTGCTCATTTACTGCATCATTTTGACAACATCTCTTATTTCCACAAAGCTTTTACATAATCTATAAACAGGGACAGGAAGGTGAGGGACAGATAACGGGGACAAAGTTTGGACCTCCCACACTGTCACTTTCTTTCAGTTTTCCATTCAAGGGTGAGGGTGCAGGGTGGCATTTTAAGGTGATCAGTAAAAGGCTGAGACAGTAATAACTGACACAGCAAGAAGAATGCTGTGAAAAACTGCCACTTCTTGCTCACTCTTCCAAAGAATGAGTGTAATTCAGTCATAATGAAGGTTCTTTAATGTTCCTCCCCCAAACCTCTTTCGATCAGGAAAGCCTGGGATCTGTAGGCAAGAAAGATAATCACATTAAGTCTCAAGTAGGCAGAGTTCAAATGCTAATAGCCTTTAATTTTTTTTCCTTTAAAATGTCAGTCAGTTGTTTCTGAAAGAACCACCATTCTGTGGTTTTACCCAGAAAACCACAGCAGATTAAATAATAAAAATAAATTCTACCAAAATGGAAAACATTTGTTAACAGATTGGTGTTATCTAAATCAGAGAGGATGAAGGTGAAGGTGAATCTCATAATATTCACCTATTGGTCTTTATATGAATTATTTGCTTGTGATAGACTTCAAATACATACCTTTGGAGTCTCAAGCAAATGCTTTTCTTCTATTATTTTATAATGTCAGCTTATCCCTGGGTTTTTTTTCTCTTGGACCCTTACTTTCCTTTGATGTGACTTTCTTTTGTATTTAACAGAAGGATATCAGAAGGTTATGCCCACAAAGGAACTTCTCCCACTTTTTTTAACCACTTCTGAAAATAAATTTGGCAATCATTTCTCTATAAACTTAAGAACCCATTTTATGAAGAAAATATGGATACTGACCTGATTACTATCTCTTGAAAAGTATCTCTTCTCTATGACCTGCGAGAAACAAAGATTTTAAGGGTTTAGCACACATACTTGGAAAAAGTGGCTAACTGTAATGGTCACTCATGGGGCTAAAAGGCATATATCCAAATTAAGAGTCTTTCCAATAGCTGTAGACATCTGGTACAATTTGGTGCTAATGAGATCAGGATTGTGAGAGTATTTCCATTAGAGCCTGCCTCATTCCAGAAATCAGAGAATGACATATAATCCCATGCAACTCTTAGTATGTAGCAGAAAATTTAGCTTTAAGTTTCCTAGCAGTCAGCCCAAAAGGTATCTAATAGAATCCATAAGATAAAAGCAAAGCACTTGCCTTAATAGTACAGCTATTCCTTAAAGAGGAGTCTGTGTGATGTTATGAACCACACATCCCTCTAGTAACACAGGGATAAATTCTGTAGGGTGTCAATGGAGACGGATGACATAACATCAGAAAAGTAGTCAATTAGCTTCTTTTTATGGACTTAATTTTGGTTCAGCTGTTTTAGAACTGTCTGTATTTGGTTAGTAGGAAAAACACAGTGAAGCAGTGGACGTATCTGCACAAATCCATCCCTACTATCATACAGAAGCCCTCAAATGACATGCCCTAGTATAGTGAGTTTAAGGAGCATCACATTTTCAGATGATGAAAAATGTTTTTAAAAATAATGAGTTCTGTTCTAACATTTGAGAAACAGCAATGATTGCAGAGGCAGTACTGTTTTCTTTATACAGAACTGTTGTGATTAAGAAAAGGTAATCATGTAAGAATACACAGAGATTAGCTGGAGATTATTTCTAAGACATTAGAATCTCAAATTATGAAAATAAAAATTCCTCTGAATGAGCCGTGAGCATCCTTGTCCAGGCCTGCATCAGCTTACCCTCAACTGCCTAACAGCGAAATATCTGGATTTTTCTATCTTTAAGAATATGGCTGGGTTGCTGTTAGCCACAAGAGATCTGGGGTAAGGTTGCATTCACTGGTCCTAGAGGTAGAAAGCTGGTTCATGATTAATATACGTGTACATGTCAAAATACTTGGTCTTACAGAAAGCAAGAAGGGACTGATTACCTTTCTTCCTTCCAGGGAAGGACAGGAAAATCCTATCATTCTAGAATGGGGATGAATTAATGCTAGCCAAGGGAGTCTGGAGGAGTGTCAGATTCCAAGAGATCTTTACATTAAATTCTTGCAGATATGATGTATAGAAAACTGGGTGATATTTAGCTGCTACATCCCTTGGCTTCAGACAGCCATCTCGGTCTGGAAGTCTGGCCAACCTCCCAATGTACGTACCTCTTGCTGTGTTTAGGCAATGGAGAGAGAAGTTACCTTTTTGCTTTTGCACATAATTCCCTACCTTCAACTTACAATGTCTCCATACTAAATCTTGCTCTCTTCTTAAAGCCAATCAAGTTCCCTCTGATTGTTTTTTAGATTTTATTTATTTATTAATAGAGAGAGGGGAAGGGAGGGAGAAAGAGAGGGAGAGAAACATCAATGTGTGGTTGCCTCTCACCGGGCCCCCACTGGGGACCTGGCCTGCAACCCAGACATGTGCCCTGACTGGGAATTGAACTAGTGACCCTCTGGTTCACAGCCCACGCTCAATCCACTGAGCCACACCAGTTAGGGCTGATTTTTTTTTTTTAATAAAGCCTTGACTGACAACTTGGGTTACACTAGTCTATAATCCATTGTTTATCTAGGATATAACTTATTACATTTAACATTACAATTTCAAGATTAAATTATTAAAAAATTTAAACAGTATATTGTGGGATCTTTCCATGTCAGACACAGATCTATAAGATGTTGCTTTCAGGGGATAATAGCATTTTGTATCAGATGGGATCAAGGATTTAAACCAAATGAAAGTTCTTACATTTTAAGTTTGAAAACAATGTAGACAGAAAATGCGGTTCCTTGCAGTGCATCCCATTTACAAAATGCTAATATTTGTACAGCACACTGGGGTAAATGGAAGAGACTGCCAATCACCCAGCCCCAGGGGTTCTGGCTGCTCTGAAAATTGAGAGGAAATCAATATCTCAGCACACCTGTACCCTATTTGCGACACACCAATTGGGAAGTTCTGCAATGAAGCAAAAATTTCCCAGTGATCTCATATTAAATAGGGAGGGGTGTGAGGCACATCTTTTCCTGACATATTAGATAATGGGCCAAATATTAGATGCCTAAATTGCTAAAAGAAAAATGATCCATAAGAAAGACCTATGAGGAGAGAAATGTTTTTAGGGGGACTACACTTAAAAGGAAATATAATACAGCAATTAATCTTTTTCAATAACACATACAAAAATGCATCCTATTTTACTTTCCTTCACAATGTCAGCATTGGGCAGGCAACTTAAACTTGGTCAATTCTATGTGCAATGCAGCTGTATAGCCTTGTGAAGGAAAGAAGAGTGCTCTAATTTACTAGCATGCTGAATCATTCTACGTCTTCATTCTACAATAAGATTATGCTAGCAAGAGTCAATAATTGAAATACAAAGTTTTTGACAGGGAAACAACAGGGAATTGAGAAGATGAAATTACCTTAAAAATAACAGTAACAACAATTAATAGCTGGGAGAGCAAAAAGAACTCAGGGCTTTAACTAAGTAGAATCTCCTCAGTTCAGTGTCTTTTGTAGGGGCTAGGGGTGAATGAATACAAAAAGAGCTAGAAAATAGGGAAACATAAAGGATTTTAAGGAGGGGAATTAGGTATCTTTAAAAAACTCCCGTTTAAATCCAGTAGCTTTCATCCTTTGCTGAGAGAACACTGGTGATAGAATAAATACGTCAGCAGGCCTTGAGCAATTATACCAACAGATAAGAGAGATCAAAACAAGTATTATTCAGTCTGTGACGTTCAAGATGAAGGCTTAAAAGGATAAAGCATTCTACAAAAAATTTAAAGTCTCATAATATATAAATTAAGTTTAAAAATAACTTAATTGAGGCCATTACCTTATCAAAAAACCTACTGAGCTTGACAGCATTGGAAGAACCGGCAGCAAGGTACCTTGGATTTGTGCAATCCTAGAAGGTAAAACATAGATCTGCAATTAAAAGTCAGGGAACATAAGCTCCTTATTAGTATCACTGCTCCTGTTGCACATTTCTACAGTAAAATATCAGCTATAATTCTCTCATAAAATATTCATGTGATTTTCAAATTATGATGCACAAAACAAAGAGGAAAGTACTAAAGGAGGGTAACACACCTTTTTGTTATATAAGCAATTTTAGAGGACACAGAACCAATGTATTCACCATCAAATAATTCATAAGGGAAGACAGGATTACTAATATCTTACTAATAAAACCAAGGTACTAATTAGGTGACCTACCTACATTTACCCTAAAAAAGCAGAAACAGAGCCATTAAAAAGTCAACCCTTCACTTTTTAGCACTACTCACCAGTGCTCAACTAAAATTCTATGCAGTTCATACAAGTAGGAAGCATGAAAATAAGGAGTTAAAAGGAACAAACAGAATTGTTGCCAGGGATTTCTCACTCATTAAATGTAAGGTGATACATCTCTTGATAGGTCATAAAGATAATAATAAACAATAAATATATGTTCAATAATAAACAGTGAATTATTATTAAATATCATTGTTATTATTAAACAGTAGTTAAATAAATAATAATGAACAATAGATATATTATAATACTATTAAATAGGATTTTTAAAAATTAGAAAAAAATGGGGCCCAGAAGAGACAAAACAACCTGGAACACTAAATTATTATAATGACTAGTAAACACTTTAAAAGATTTACTGTACTTATACTGAAATTCCAATGTCATGGTGTCTTTGCTTATCATTACTGATTTGCCACCTCAAGAGATAAGAATACCTTGATTTTTACCTCAGAAGGCACATAAGACCAAACTATCACAATATCATGGAGACTCCTTGCAAGAATTATATTTGTCTGTCAGGCTGTGTCCCCTGGGAAATTACTGAAATTATTGATGTTGCATTTATTGTTTTGTAATCTATATGCCTATATGATTCCTCTCCAATGTGTTTTACAGTCACTTATATTTTATCCATATACAACATTTCAAGGCCCACCTTTTAAATTTTGGCTAGAATCTATAATACATTCTCAAAACTACACACACACACACAGACACATACACACACACACACACAAAGAGACTACAACAAACTTTTCAAAGATCACAGAATACTAGAAGCTAGCAAGCTCTGAATCTAAGTGTCTGTCACAACATTTCTAGATTATGTGACATTGGTTAGGTTACTAAATCTTTAAAGTGGAGCTCATTTATGAAATGGGGGTAATGATACTTATCCCATAGGATTTCTGTGAAAATTAAATAAGGTAATATACATCTGGCACATAGCAGGTACTGAAATATCAGTTCCCTTTTCTCTTCATCCCAAGCAAATGCTATCAGGCTGAATTTTCAGACACAAAACACCTACCATAAAGGATAATTCCACATACAGATCAAACAGACGGAAATATCATTGTGGAAACTACCGTATTTGAAATAATGTGTGAGCACATTTATATGGCAGTTGGGGCCTACAAGAGACAAACCTTAGATGGACCTGTGTTAGATGTTTTACAAAATGTTACTGCTGAAACAGTTATCAGAATGTGAAAGTACTTCAGAGACTATTCCAAACAGAGCTAAAGTACTAAATACAGAAACTAAACCAAGAAGCAAACAAACAAAACTTCCCAAAGGTTTAATTCTAAGGCTGCACAATTTCAGCTTGACCATGCTAGAAAAATTCTATGATTTTCAGGATAACAATTTTAAAACTGAAAGAGTCATCTGTTATTGATCATGGCAGAGGGCAAAGCTTGAAAATTAATAGCTCTGAATAGCTTGTCCAAGCTTGAGAAGGAATAATAACTAGGGAAGATGCTTCAGTGTGATCGCTTTAAAGTACACGTATGACAAAGAAAAATTTGTTCTAGATACAATAAGCCTAACGTGATTTAAAAAAAATAAATATGGAAAACTTTAAGTACACATAGAATAACTGGGGTACGTGAACTGACTTTTTCAAATGTAAATTTTATGAAATCTAAATACAGAGCAAATATTTCAAATGAAAAATTAGTATCTGAATTAAGAATTAGAGTGTAAAAGACACCAAATTTTGAAGCCTTAGTACTAAAAAAAGAATATTTCTATTAATATTTACTTTATTAATACTTTTAAATGTTGATTACATGTTGAAATGGTAAAATTTGGATATATTGAATTAAATAAAACATATTTAAATTAATTTTATCTCTTCCTTGTTGCTTTTTTAGTGTGAAAACTATTAGAATAGTAACATAAATTTTTAAATTTTCAAATGAAAGTAATTTTATTTCTAAAAAATATGAAATTGTTTTATTAAAAAGTAAGTAAGTAAATCATCTTCTCCCTATTTATAATGTAAACATTCTGCCTTTTTTCAGGCACAAGAATAACTCTGATTCCTTCTTTGATGTAAACATAGAGTAACCAAAGATGATAACACTAATATTGTTACATTCATTTTTTTTTATTTGAGGCTTTACATTTACTTGCTGAATCTTTCTGATGATCTCTTTTTGAAACGTTAATCCAATTTTCCTCCTTATTTTTTATTCCCTGCATACTCAACACCATTTGCTGTTTCTGTTGTGTCCTTGAAGCCACATATGGATAAAAGGCCAGAAGCATGTTGTATGTGAACTCCGTGGAAACTGTGTATGCCAAAGTATCACCACTTGACTTCCTTTACATCTGGTTAACAAATGGACCTGACTCTGCAGGTAAAGAAAGAAAAGCATATATCTAGCCACTTGAAACAGATATTAATGAAACAAATTAAGAATATTTAATGGTAAATTTCACTTTGGAAATAACGTTCAAATGAGGTAACCTGAGCATTTCTTCAACAAGGATATAATATATTCTAAGTAGCAGTAATCTTCTAGAATATCATGGTCCAGTGCTGATCACCTGGGGCACTTATTCTGAATATTCCATGGTGGCAGCTGAGAAAAATAAGGCATTTCTATTGCAAAGTAGAATGTAAAAACCAATGGCATGGCAGACAGATGCTGATTCATTGTGGGGGTAGAGGTGGGGCTGAACCAAGCAGTGTTCACAAATGTTGATTCACAGAGTAAGGACATCAGAATCACCTGAGTCATTTCTTAAAATTAGAGTCCTGGTCCTCCTGACAGACCTTATGAATAAAAAGCTCCTGTTGTGTGCCAGTTACTCAAAAAATTTCATAGGTACTGTTTGTTGGTAATATGAATATGCAGTCAGGTTTGGGTAATTGTTAATCTAGGTGATTTCTAAGAGTTCTTTCAGCTCCAAAATTCTAAATGTTAGTTGTAGGATAATCATGTGGAAGAGCAGCTTAATTGTATAGCACAGGCTCTGAAGTCAGAGTGCCTGCTTTGACCTGTGTAACCCATGGCCTAGTTACCTCTGCTACTAGTCTTCATCTTTTTTTAAAATATATTTTATTGATTATGCTATTACAGTTGTTCCATTTTCTCCCCTTTACTCCCCTCCACCTTACACACCCCTCCCATCCACATTTCCCCCGTTTAGTTCATGTCCATGGGTCGTATATATAAGTTCTTTGGTTTCTACATTTCTCATACTATTCTTACCCTCCTTCTGTCTATTTTCTACCTACCATCTATGCTACTTATTCTCTGTACCTTTTCCCCTGTCTCCTCCTCCCATTCCCCTGTTGCTAACCCTCCATGTGATCTCCATTTCTGTGTTTCTGTTCCTGTTCTAGTTGTTTGTTTAGTTTGCTTTTGTTTTTGTTTTAGGTGTGGTTGTTAATAACTGTGAGTTTGTTGTCATTTTACTGTTCATATTTTTTATCTTCTTTTTCTTAGATAAATCCCTTTAACATTTATATAATAAGGGCTTAATGATGATGAACTCCTTTAACTTGACTTTATCTGAGAAGCACTTTATCTGCCCTTCCATTCTAAATGAAAGCTTTGCTGGATAGACCAATCTTGGATGTAGGTCGTTGCCTTTCATGACTTGGAAGACTTCTTTCCAGCCCCTCCTTGTGCGCAAGGTCTCTTTTGAGAAATCAGCTGACAGCCTGATGGGAACTCCTTTGTAGGTGACTGTCCCCTTATCTCTTGCTGCTTCTAGGATTCTCTCCTTCATTTTAACCTTGGCTAATGTAATTATGATGTGCCTTGGTGTGTTCCTCCTTGGGCCCAACTTCTTTGGGACTCTGTGAGCTTCCTGGACTTCCTGGGAGTCTATTTCCTTTGCCAAAATGGGGAAGTTCTCCTTTATTATTTGTTCAAATAAGTTTTCCACTTGTTGCTCTTCCTCTTCTCCTTCTGGCACTCCTATGATTTGGATGTTAGAACATTTAAAGATGTCCAGGAGGTTCCTAAGCCTCTCTTCATTTTTAAAAATTCTTGTTTCTTCATTCTATTCTGATTGGATGTTTCTTTCTTCCTTCTGGTCCACAACGTTGATCTGAGTCCCAGTTTCCTTCCCATCACTATTGGTTCCCTGCACACTTTCCTTTATTTCACTTAGCATAGCCTTCATTTGTTCATCTAATTTGCGACCAAATTCAACCAATTCTGTGAGCATCCTGATTAACAGTGTTTTGAACTGTGCATCTGGTAGCTTGGTTTCTCTTCATCGCTTAATTGTATTTTTTCTAGCATTGATCCATTCTTCATTTGGGCCCCTTTTTTTGGTCTTGATGAGTCTGTTACATAGCAAGGGGTGGAGCCTTAGGTATTCATCCGGGTGGGGTAACCCATGTCCCTGTGTTGTGATGCTGCATGTGGGGAAGGGGTCCAAGAGGGAACAATGCCGCTTGTGCTGTTCTCTGATGGATTTCAGTCACTTCCCACACTTCCCACAAGCAATTTAGGCACTTCTGGTGCTGATTCCTTGGTGGGTGGGTTTGTGTATGTTCTAGGACCCTGTGGGTCTCTCCAGGGAATTCTCCAGTGAGGCTGGGAGTTTCTCCCGCTGCCGCCTCAACCCCCACAGGCATTTTCAATCAGTGGTTTGAGGCTTTATTTCCCTGTGCTGGGGCCCTGGGTTGTGCAGTCCATCCATCTCCCCAGTTGTTTCTCCCCATTTATCTGCATGTGAATGTGGGACCACCCAGGCTGCAATCTGCCATCTCCCTGGGTCTGCCTGCTGCTGCCTTGCTGGCCAGCTGCAGCCTTGCATGCCTTGCTCTACAATCTGCTGCCTCACTGGGTCTGCCAGTTACCACCTTGCCCATCCTGATCCTCTGGCCACCACCTTGCTGCAAGTCCTCTCTACCCAGCTGCCTGTCTCCGCCCCTCCTACTAGTCTGGATGATTGTGTCTTCTTTAACTCCTTAGTTGCTGGACTTCCATACAGTTTGATTTTCTGTCAGTTCTGGTTGTTTTTTGGTTTTTAAATTGTTGTTGTCCTTTTTTGGTTGTGTGAAGAGGCATGGTGTATCTACCTCCATCTTGGCTGGAAGTCTATTCTTCATGTTTAAAATGGGTATAGTAATATTACCTAACTCATAGGGATGAAGCATGTGAGAGAATGTACGTAAAGTACCAGAACAGTGCATGGCTCAATAAATGGTAGCAACTGGTATTATTAAACCATCACACATCTGAATACCAGTGCACTGTGTATGTATGCTGCCCAAATCCTACTTGTGAGCAATGACATATCCTTTTCTGGGCAACATTAACTGGTTTATAGGAGGACTTTTCTTAGCCTTTTTAGTGCCAAGTTCTAATGGAGCTAAATATCTCAGGAAGAGATTTAAGATCTGCATACACATAAGATTATATAAACTAATGCCTATGAAGCACTCCTAGTTTATAGTTTGTAATTTTTTCACTTGCCTAGGCCCTTTGCCTGTTCCCCCTTTAAGGTAAATTCTATAATTTAAGAAGCTAGGAGGCTTTTCTAAAGCAAGAATAGTAAAGTTTATTACAGTATTAGTAACCTTTTCTTATCATCTTAATTTACTTATTTTGACTTTGGTGTGACTTTAAAAAACTTTTTCAAGAAAAAGCCCATGATTTTTACATTCTTCACAGAACAAAGTTTGAACATTCCAACAGAACAGCATTCAAGGAGGCTGAAGTGACTATGTGCATCTAACAGTTTGTTGATTCCAACTTTCACCATATTTTGGAGTAGAACCAAAACAGCCTGACTTCAAGTATAAAGCTTCTTTTGTGAGAATATATGACTTGAAGTCTTGGATTTTGCTTTCAGCTGGTAATAATACAAACATGCAGTAGTGAAAATACACACCAAATTAATCTCTTCTGCATTGAAATCCTCAGCCAGGAAAGCAGTCCTAATTAAAACTTCATGGCGCTTGGTGTCATGAATCTGGTCCAGTTTAGTCCCTATTACCAACAATGGAATTTGGTTTTCAGCAAACTGTTCCCGGTCATAATCCCTGTAATAAATAATGAAGAAGTGAATAGAATTTACCCTTTTGATGTAGATATGTAAAATAGCTTATATTATTTTATTGATAATTCACTGACTCTTGCTCACCTATCACCTATAAAACTACTTTTTCCCTAATTTCTTCCATCTACTTGTTTATCAATCCATCCTCACCATTTTTGGAGTTCTAACTATTCATCTAATTCTCAAAATTTGTCCCCATGAGTCTTTATAGACTACTTGAATAACTGAGTGCCCACCAGGTATAACAAGGTAAGTTGAGTTGACTTTTCCCAAAGCTCTGTCTTCTAAGGCTCGGGAATTTTTTTTGTACAAATGCAGAGAGTGGACCCAAATTTCAGGGTGGAGAAAACCCTGGAACCTAGCATGGCACTCAAGCCTTGAGTCAGAATGGAAAATGACAAGCTTCTGGGTACCTTCAGGGCTATGCATGTGCTCTATACTTCCATACACAGTTCTGTCTAGGAATAAATTATTTAAGGAAAATAGGAAATAGGGACATTAAAGGCAGAATGAAGGTGATGCTATAGCCTAAGGAAAGGTGGATTCAACAGATGGAAAGAGAAATAAACAGCTGAATCACAAATTGAATAGTAAAAGGAAAGAATTAAGTACCAAAGAGATGTTTGTTTGGAAATGAGAGCTGTGGGAGGCAGGCAATACAAATCCCTCAGGGTCAATGGCCGTTACAATTTTTTTTTCTATTTCTATCCAATTGATAGAGTGATTTTCCTTCTTTAGTAAAAGGAACACAGAGCCCAATGTTGTTGAATTAATTTAAATTCTATTCATATATGAGAAATAAAAGGTTTGGATTTTGGACATATTATAAGCTCAATTTATAATAGTCAGCAAACTCTGGTTTTGAACACCTTATGATAGTGAATCACTATTGCATAATCCAATCAATACAACCCAGCTGAGGATAGCTTTTTCTCTTTCTTCAACATTACTTTTCTTTCTCTTTGAATAACCTAAATTGGGGGTGTGTGTGCAAATTATCAAATCTTTTTGCCCTTCATAATCATCCTGCAGAGCCTCAGTTACTGTTCAGCCTTGGAACACAATTGTTTTGAACCATGTAACCTCCCATTTCATAAAAATATAATCACTCTTTGTTTGCATCAAAGCCAATGATAGCTTGAGTTCAAGGTCTTTGATTCTTTTTACCAGCATCAACACTGATTTAGGAGAAATTGTCCAAAATTGAAATTTACTTTATTAGAGAATAAAGTGTTGAGAGTGACCTCCTTTAGGACTATTTCCTTTTCCTATACTCACTAACTCTGGCTCACATACAAATATTTGAGTATTTGAGTATATAGTTTATCAAACATCATCTCTGATACATATATATTTCTGTCACTTGCAGTCTTGCATAATCTCTAGCACATCAACACATGTATGTACTTCATATATTAATAACATATATATTACAATATAAATATAATTTGTTCTCTTATATCTCTCCTAACTTTTCCTTTTTACTCTCTTTTATTAAATCTTACATCCAATTTGACTTTGGTAAAAAACAACAACAAAAAAACCTTGCATCTTTCAGACCACTATTTTTAACTACCATTTTAGAGAAGATTTAGGATTCAGAGAAACAAATTTAATAGCACTATAGGCATACAATCAACAAAAGCCAAAACACAGGAAACTCAACAGGACAAACAAGACATCTATTTTTCACAAATAAACTGCTACAGGGTAAAAAATAAAAATGAAAAAGGGAAGGGGAAGTTGAGATAAGAAGAAACCAAATACAATGAGTGGACCTTATTTAGATACAATTTTGAATAAACCACAATTTTTGAGAAATTTGAGAAAATTAAAGTAAAATTCAATATTAAAGAATTATTGTTCATTTTAAGTATGACAATATATTTTGGTTGTTCAAAAAGTTCTTAACCTTTAATGTTATACATTGAGGGTTAGACTAAATATCTAGATGAAATGATATCATATCTATGATATTTTCTTCAAACATAAATGAAGAAACACACTGTATTCATGGATGGGACAATACAACAAAAATTCTCCCTGATTTGATCTATAGGTTTAGTGTAATTCCAATAAAAATTCAAGCATAATTTCTGTCAATACAGACAAGCTGATTTCAATTTTATATGGAAAAGCAAATAAGATGAGCTAAACCATTTTGAAAAGGCTTAAAGTGGAAGGAATCACATTGTTTAATTTTAAGACTTCCTATACTGTTACAATAATCAAGACTGTAGTATCAGTGAAGGGGCAGACACACATATCAATGGAACAGAATTAGGGAGTCTAGAAATAGACCCATATAAATATGGTCAAATTACTTTTGGCAAAAGAGTAAAAGAAATTCAATGGAAAAGGATAATATTGTCAATAAATGGTGTTGGAAAGAAGTTCATAGCAATACAGGCCTACCTAAAAACGATGGAAACATTTCAAACAAACAGCCTAACACTACATCTACAAGAACTGGAGGAACAACAACAAAGAGCAGAGCAAGTAGGAGAAAGGAAATGATCAGGGCAGAATTAAATGACATAGAGACTAAAAGAACAATTCTAAGGATCAATAAATCCAGGAGCTGGTTATTTGAAAAGATAAACAAAATCGACAAGCCTTTAACCAGACTTTTAAAGACAAAAAGACAGAGGACCCAAATAAATAAAATCAGAAATGAAAGTGGAAAGATTACAACCAATACCATAGAAATACAAAGGATTGTAAGAAATTACTAAGAACAACTATATGCCAAGAAATTTGCAAACCTCAGTGAAATGGACAAATTTCTAGAAAAATATAATTTTCCAAAACTGAATGAGGCAGCAGCAGAAAGCCTAAACAGAATGATAACAGCTGGTGAAACTGAAGCAGTAATAAAAAGAAGTCCTGGCACATAAAAGCTCTGGACCAGACTGCAAAGTTTAGCAGGGGAATTTTACAAAACATTTAAGGAAGAGCTAACTCCTATCTTTCTCAGACTATTCCAAAAAATCCAGGAAGACAGAAGACTCCCAAGCTCTTTTTATGAGGCCAGCATCCTCCTAATCCTCAAACTAGATAAAGACACAACAAAGAAAAGTACAGGCCAATATTGCTGATGAAAATAGATGCTAAAATCTTCAAGTAAATACTGGCAAACTGCATAGAGAAATACAGTAAAAAGATCATACACCATGGTGAAGTGGCATTCATCCCAGGGATGCAAAGATGGTACAATATTTTCAAATCAATAAAAGTAATACATCACATAAACAAAACAAAAGATAAAAATCACATGATCATCATTATCAATAGATGTGGAAAAAGCATTTGATAATGTACAGCACCCGTTCATGATAAAAACACTCAGCAAAGTGGGAGTAGAGGGAGCATTCCTCAATACAATAAAGGTCATATATGAGAAACCTACAGCCAACATCACATTCAATGGGCAAAAACTAAAGGGTTTCCCACTAAGATCAGGAACAAGACAAGGATGTTCGCTTTCTCCACTTTTCTATTCAACATAGTGTTGGAAGTTTTAGCTATAGCAATCAGACAAGAAAAAGAAATAAAAGGCATCCAAATTGGAAAGGAGAAAGTAAAACTGCCATTGTTTGCAGATGACATGATAGTGTACATAGAAAACCCTAGAGACTCCACCAAAAAACTATTTGATCTAATAAGTGAATTAGGCAAAGCAGCAGGATACAAAGTCAATATTCAGAAATCAAAGGCATTTTTGTACACCGACAACAAAATATCAGAAACAGAAATAAGAAAAAAAATCCCTTTTGATATAGCAACAAGAAAAATAAAGCACCTAGGAATAAACCTAACCAAGGAGGTAAAAGACCTATACTCAGAACACTACACAACACTGAAGAAAGAAACTAAGGAAGACACAAACAAATGGAAGCATGTACCATGTTCATGGATTGGAAGAATTAACATCATCAAAATGTCCATACTACCCAAAGCAATCTATAGATTCAATGCAATTCCTATTAAAATACCAATGACATATTTCACAGATATAGAATATTTCAAAAATTTATATGGAACCACAAACAACCCCAAATAGCTGCAGCAATTTTGACAAAGAAGAATAATTCCTGACATCAAACTATAATTCCTGACATCAAACTATATTACAAGGCCTCTATAATCCAAACAGTCTGGTACTAGCATAAGAAAAGACACAGAGATCAATGGAACAGATTAGAGAGTCCTGAAATAAAAAAATCATGTTTCTATGGTCAATTAATATTCAACAAAGGGGTCAGGAGCATAAAATGGAGTAGAAATAGCTTCTTCAACAAATGGTGTTGGAGATCTGGACAGCTACATGCAAAAAATAAAATGCGACAACCATCTTATACCATACACAAAAACAAACTCAAGATGCATAAAAGATTTAAGTATGTCGTGACAACATAAAAGTCCTAGAGGAGAACATAGGCAGGAAAATCCATGCAGCAGTATATTCCATGCAACAGTATATTCATTGATATGTCCTCTAGAGCAAGAGTCATAAAGGAAAGAAAAACAAATGAGACTTCATTAAAATAAAAATCTTCTGCATGGCTAAAGAAAACATCAGCAAAATGAAAAGGGAACCAACCTTATGGGAAAATGTATTTGCCAATGATATCTTAGACAGGGATTAGATCTCCAAAATATAAAAAGAACTCACATGACTCCACACCAGAAAGACAAACAATCCAATTAAAAAATGGGCAAAGGACCTGAACAGACACTTCTCCAAGGAGGACACGTAGAGGGCCCAGACACATATGAAAGGATGCTCAGCATCACTAGCCATCAGAGAGATGCAAATTAAAACCACAGTGAGATACCACTTCACACCAGTCAGAATGGCCATCTTAAACAAATCAACAAACAACAAGTGCTGGGGAGGTTGTGGAGAGAAGAGAACCCTAGTGTGCAGTGTTGCTGGGAATGCAGACTGGTGCAGACACTGTGGAAAACCGTCTGGAATTTCCTCAGAAAACTAAAAATGGAAATGCTTTTTATTCTGGCAATTCCATAACTGTGATTATACCCTAAGAATCCTGAAACAACATTTCAAAAGAACCTATGTACCTCAATTTCATAGCAGCACAATTTACAATAGCCAAGTGCTGGCAGCAACCTAAGTGCCCATCAGCCAATGAGTGGGTAAAAAACTGTGGTACATTTACACAGTGGAATACTATGCAGGAGAAAGAAAGGAGCTCCTACCCTTTGTGACAGCATGGATGTAACTGGAGAGTATTATGCTAAGTGAAATAAGCGAGGCTGTGAAAGACAAATACCATATGATCTCACCTATAAGTGGAACCTAATCAACCAAACAAGAAGCATGCAAAATAGAACCAGAGACATTGAAATAAAGAATAAACTGACAGTAACCAGATGGGAGGTAGGGGTGAGGGATAACAGGGGAAAGAAGGGAAAGGGTCTTCAAGGAACATGTATAAAGGACCCATGGGCAAAGCCAAAGGTGGGTAGGATTGAGGATGGGAGGTTGGGAGACAGTGGTGGGGGGCAGGGAATGGAGACAATTGTACTTGAACAACAATAAAAAGTATATAAATGGTGTTAGAACAATTGGACGTTCATATGTAAAAGTCACCCTCCAACTCTCACATTATAAGTAACTCAAAAAGGAGCAAGATCTAAAAGTAAATCTAAAACTATAAAACTTGTAGAAGAAACACAGGAGAAAATCTTTCTGTTCTGGAATTAGGCAAAGAGTTCTTAGATATGATACTACAAGGTACAATACATAAAAACTTGAAAAATTAGACTTTATTAAAATGCAAAACTATTGCTTTGTGAAGGAGACTGTTAGGAGGATATTTACACATAAAATATTTTACAAGGTGTTACTTTGGAGGGCATATTCCTGCAATTGCTGGTAACATTTCAAACCAACTTTGAACTAATTTGGGCTTACCCATTTGTTACTAAGACTCCAGTTGGCACTGAATCCCTGTTGAGAGCTTCTGATGACCAACGATTCAAGTTTTGGGATGACTTCTTATTCGTTAAGTCATGTACTAAAATAATACCTAAAATAATCAGAGAAAATAATGTCAATATGGGAACAATTCTTCATTTCAGAATTGGCAAAGTGAGGCTTAGTAAAAAAATAAGCATTGAATTGTTTAGTGAACCTAGCATTCTAGTATGATTAACAATTATTTTAAAATTTCTTCTACCCATAACAAGAGACAAAGACGGTCAGTACACAATACTTAATGGAGCATAACTCTTGCAAACATATATGCACCCAATATAGGAGCACCAAAATATATAAACAAAATCTTGGAGCACTTTAAGAAAGCAATAGATAGCAATACTATTTAAGGGATTTGTAGGGGATTTCACACCCCACGGTCAACAGTGGATGAATCTTCTGAACAAAAAATCAACAAAAATATTGCAGAATTGAAGGACATTGTAGATCCAAAGGACTTAATTGATATTTATAGAACATTTCACCCCAAAGAAGCAAAATACACATTCTCCTCAAAGGCACAGGGATCATTCTCAAAGATAGACCACATGGTGGGCACAAAACAAGCCTCAACAAATTCAAGAAAAGTGAAATACTATCAAGTATCTTCTTGGATCACAATGGCTTGAAACTAGAAACGAACTTCAAGAAAAACACTAAAAAACACTGAAATACATTGAGGCTAAATAACATGTTATTAAACATTGAATGGATTAACAGTGAGATCAAGGAAGAAATCAAAAAGTACTTGGAAAAAAGTGAAAATGAATACACAACAACCCCCAACCTCTGGGACACAGCGAAGGCAGACTTGAGGGAGAAGTTCATAGTGATAAGGCCTACCTAAAGAAGATAGCAAAATCTCAAATAAACAATCTAACTCTACATCTAAAAGAACTAGGGGAACAACAACAAACAAGGCCCACAGCAAGCAGAAGGAAGGAACTAATCAGGATGAGAGCAGATTAAATGACATACAGAGTGAAAACACAATTCAAAGGATCAATGAATCCAGGAGCTGGTTCTCTGAAAAGATAAACAAAATTGACTAACTGTTCACTAGACTCATCAAGAAAAAAGAGAGGACCTAAACAAGTGAAATCAGAAATGAAAGAGGAGAAGTAACAATTGATACCACAGAAATACAAAGGATTTTAAGAAATTACTAAGAACAAGTATATGTGAAGAAATTGGACAACCTGGGCAAAATGGACACATTTCTAGAAACACACAATCTTCAAAAACTGAATCAGGAAGAAGCAGAAAAACTGAATAGATTGGTAACAGCTAGTGAAATTAAACAAGTAATCAAAATACTACTGGCACACAAAAGCCCTGGACTGGATGGCTTCACAGGTGAATTTTACCAAACATTTAAAGAAAACTAACTCCTATCCTTCTCAAACTATTCCAAACTACTCAAGACGAGGAAGACTCCCAAACTCTTTTTATAAGAACAGTATTATCATAATCCTCAAACCAGGTAAAGACACAAAAGAAAGAAAATTACACCCTAATATTTCTGATGAGCATAGAGGCTAAAATTCTCAAAAAAAATACTAGCAAACCAGATCCAACAATACATTCAAAAGATCATATAACATGATCAAGTGGGATATATTCCAAGGATGCAAGGATGGTACAATATTTGTAAATCAATAAATGTGATACTTCACAGAAACAAAATGAAAGATAAAAAATCACATAATCATATTATATGCAGGAAAAGCATTTGATAAAATCCAGCACCCAGTTATAATAAAAACAGTCAGCAAAACAGGAATAGGGGGAGTATACCTGAACATAATGAAGTACACATAAGAAAAACCTACTACCAACATCATCTTCAATGGGCAAAAACTAAAGACGTTTCTCTTAGGATCCAGAACAAGACCAGGGTGACCTCTTTCACCACTCTTACTCAACATAGTACTAGAGGTGCTATGCAATCAGCCACAGCAATCAGCCAAGAAGAATAAAAGGCATCCAAACTGGAAAAGAAAAAACAAACTGTCATTATTTGCAGATGACATGACAGTGTACACAGAAAACCCTATAGGCTCCACCAAAAATCTACTCAACCTAGTAAATGAATTAGGCAAGTAGTGGTATACAATGTCAATATTCAGAAATTGATAGCATTTTTGTACACCAGTTTTGAGCTATCAGAAAGAGAAACTAAGAAAACAATCCTATTGACTACAGCAAACAACAACAAAGTATCTAGGAATAAACTTAATCAAGGAGGTAAAAGATCTGAACTCAGAAAACTACAGAACACTGAAGAAATACTGAGGAAGATACAAATAAATGGAAGCATATACTCTGTTCACTGACTGGAAGAATTAATATCATCAAAATATCCATACTACCCAAAGCAATCTATAGATTCAACACAATTCCTATTAAAATACCAATGGCATGTTTGACTGCTCTTGAACAAATACTTCAAAAATCTATATGGAAGCAAAAAAGACACAGCAATCTTGAGAAATAAGAACAAAGTAGGAGGGATCACAATACCTGATATCAAACTATACTACTCAGCCACTGTAATCAAAACAGTCTGGTACAGGCATAAGAATGGACACATAGATCAGTGGAACAGAATAGAGCCCAAAATAAACCCATGTCTCTATGGTCAATTAATATTTGACAAAGGGATGATGAGAATACAATGGAGTAAAAATAGCCTCTTCAATAAATGGTGTTGAGAGAACTGGACTGATACATACAAAAAATGAAGCCAGGCCACCAACTTCCATCATATACCAGAATAAACTCAAAATGGAAAAAAGACTTAAACATAAGTTGTGATACTATGAAAGTCCTAGAAAAAACATAGGCAGTAAAATTTCAGATATCCCACAAACCAATATTTTTGCTGACATAGATTCAAGAGCAAGGAAAATAAAGGAAAAAAAATAAACAAATGGGACTATATCAAAGTAGAAAGCTTCTGCATGGCTAAAAAAAACATCATTAAGATGAAAAGGGAACTGACTGTATGGGAAAACATATTTGCCAATGATACATGTGACAAAGGTTTAATCTCCAAAATATATAAAGAACTCACAGGACTCAAAACCAGGAAGACAAACAATCCAATTAAAAAATGGTAAAGGACCTGAACAGACACTTCTCCACAGAGGACATACAGATGGCCCATAAACATATGAGAAATACTCATTGTCAGTAGCCATCACAGGGATGCAAATTAAAACCATAATGAAATATCACCTCACACCTGTCAGAATGGCCATCATTAATAAATGAACGAACAACAAGTGCTGGCGAGGTTGTGAAGAAAAGGAAACCCTAGTGCACTGTTGGTGGGAATGCAGACTGGTGCAGACACAGTGGAAAACACTCTGGAATTTCCTCAAAAAATTAAAAATGGAACTGTCCTTTGACCCAGTGATTCCATGCTGGGAATATACCCTAAGAACCCCAAAACACCAATTCAAAAGAACTTAGGCACCTCTATGTTAATAGCAGCACTATGTACAATAGCCAAGTGTTGGAAACAGCCTAAGTGCCCATCAGTAGATGAATGAATTAATAACTGTGGTACATTTACACAACAGAATACTACACAGCAGAAAGAAAGAAGAAGGAATTCCTACCCTTTGCAACAGCATAGATGGAACTCGAAACTATTATGTTAAGTGAAATAAGCCAGTCAGTGAAAGACAAATACCGTATGATCTGACATATAAAAGGAATCTAATGAACAAAACAAGCAAAACAGAACCAGAGACAAGGAAACAGGGAACAGACTGATGGCTACCATAGGAGGGTGGGGGATAATGGTTGAAAAAAAGTAAGGGATTAGTGAAAGAACGTGATGAACGATCCATAGACATGGACAATGGTGTGGGGCTGTATTGTTGGAGCAGGGGCAGGCTGGATGGAGGAGGGCAAAGGGGGGAAAACTGGGACAACTGCAATAGAATAAACAAAAATAAAAAAGAAGAAAAATAAAGTATTCAAAATAAAAAAAAGCACACCTCTCCTTCTAGCTTTGAGGTAGACTTTTTTTTTTCCCTAAAGGGAGGGGGCAATTAAAACTTTTAAAAAGGAATAACCGACTTCAAAAAAAATAAAATTTCTCCCCTGGCTGGCGTGGCTCAGTAGATTGAGTACTGGCCTGAGAACCAAAGAGTTGCTGGTTCATTTCCCAGTCAGAGCACATGCCTGGATTGTGGACCAGGTCCCCCGTGGGGAGCAAGCGAGAGGCAACCACACATTGATGTTTCTCTCCCTCTCTTTCTCCCTCCCTCCTCTCTAAAAATAAATAAAATAATTAAAAACAAATAGTTAACTATCATATTATGTTAAAGAAAAATAAATTAATAACAATGTAGGGGGGCATATGGGCAAAGGACCTGAACAGACACTTCTCCACAGAGGACACACAGAGGGCCCAGACACATATGAAAGGATGCTCAGCATCACTACCCATCAAAGAGATGCAAATTAAAACCACACTGAGATACCACTTCACACCAGTCAGAATGGCCATCTTAAACAAATCAACAAACAAGTGCTGGTGAGGTTGTGGAGAAAAAGGAAACCTGGTGCACTGTTGCTGGGAATACAGACTGGTGCAGACACTGTGGAAAACACTCTGGAATTTCCTCAGGAAACTAAAAATGGAACTGCCTTTTCACCTGGCAATTCCACTGCTGGGATTATACCCTAAGAATCCTGAAACACCAATCCAAAAGAACCTATGCACCCCAATCTTCATAGCACAGCTCTTTATAATAGCCAAGTGCTGGAAGTAGCCTAAGCGCCCATCAGTAAATGAATGGATCAAAACACTATGGTACATTTACACAATGGAATACTACTCAGTAGAAAGAAAGAACTCCTACCCTTCATGACAGCATGGATGTATTATGCTAAGTGAAATAAGACAAATATCATATATAATCTCACCTATAAGTGGAACCTAATCAACAAAACAAACAAGCATGCAAAACAGAAACAGACATGGAAATAAAGAACAAACTGACAGTAACCAGACAGGAGGGGGGAGAGGGTTAA